AGTAACCGAAAACGACAACAACAATTAAGCCCAAGCATATCCGCCGCAACCTCAGGCGAAACCCCGTGAAGTTTGGTCCGAGACTCCCGTGTATAAAGGCGATTCCATCGCCTCCATCACGTATCTCACTATCGTCTTCGATCGGATCTTCTGTTCCGATGTCCCTTGCGACTGTATCCCCAAGTACGCCTGCTATGCCTCTGCTTGTTACCTAGACGCGTCCATGCACGCTTTGCCGTGTTGCGCATGGGATCTCGTTTGGGAGTTCGAGGGCTGTAATTCCTGTTTTGTCGGGCAAGAGTGGGATGGTTGCGCTTGGGAGTGCATTTCAGCTTGCTTGGTTTCACTTTTCATGGTCTGGTGTAAGCGTACTCGCTGATGTCTATCTTCTCTTATCTTCAATGCTCCATTTCTGATTTCTTCGTCCTCTCTGGCTTCATCTTTGTATATCTTGGATTTAGGTGTACTTGTATGTCCTTAACGTTTTGATTTCTTTTCTGTGTGGCGCCTTTCTTTCTTAGCGTCTTTTTTGTTTGCCGTTTCGCAGGTTGCTTCTTACTTATGGTTGCTTGTTTTTCTCAGTCTTCTCTTGCTGTCGCCTTTTCAAAACTGATTTGGTCTCAGCTTTTTGTTTGCGAGTTTTTATCTGTTCGTCCTGTTCGCCTTCACTCCACACTTTAACCTTCCTCCTATTTCTCTCGCCTATCTCGTCCCCCCACCCATGCCTTCGCTCCTGACTGGTCTTTTTCGGTTTCCAAAGGTATGTCTCGCATGTCCCTCACTTTGTATATGTTGACGATCCACATTTCATTCTGTATTTCCCAAGACGTCCGTACTCGCTCGTTCGTTCGCCATTATGCATATAATGCACGCTTGCACACTCCTTCGTTCTCCTTTTAAGCAGCCACTGTCGCTCTCGTTCGTGTCATTAAACACGCAGTTCACACTCCTTTTGTTTTATCTTATCAATATCGGTCTCTGCGTCTCCTTGGGACAGGTTCTTTCTACGGATGAGGGAAATTCTTCTTTCAACAAACGGCAGATGCTCTCTCCGATTCTCCCTTTCCCAACTGGCTATTTGCTCCTCAAGCTCGTTGACAACCTTGATCTATCTATTCACCGGTGCATCAGTCCCATCCCATCATTGCTTACATATGAACCACTAGACTGGAGCCATCACACATTCATTAGCTTTGCATTTAAAGCGTGTAGCATCACCGCCCCCTCGTCACTGCTTTAGTTCCTACTGCCTCCGTTCCTGTCCACATCATTTCTTTCTTTGTACAACAAGCGCTTCCTTTTTTGTACAATCTCCACTCTCCCCCCCTCTTTGTACAACCTCATACTTTCTTTGTACGACTACCCTCGTCGCTGCACACGTCGATCGTGTTTCATGACAGGGAATTGGATACGACGCATGTATGTACTTTTGGTCGCATTTGTACTAATCAGTGTGTACATGAATGAGAAGAAAGGTCGTGGATTTTGCTCGTGTCGTAATTGACAATGTCTGCCACGAGGTCGGCTTGGGCTGTGTTGGATCAGTGATCTAAACGCTGTCATTGATGGGTCGAGGCAGAACCTCTAACTCGACTGTAGCAAAAATACCAAAAGAGTACTTCGAAGATCGCACTGGCAGGTTGCCGAAATCACAAACAGTTATCCGATCTTTTGGGACATTCAAATATTCCGCACGAGTTACTGCCTTGCGATCTCTTTAACAACTGTTGCCTTGGTCCCATCGGTATCCCTGCATGCACATTGTCTTTTCACTGGAATTTAGGCTGAAACACTTGCTTCCATCACTCAGATATCATCCCTCAAATCTCACCTTGGCAATGTAAACGCTGAATTGTGGTATATCAAGTACGAATGTGATCGTTACACATCCACCAAGTTCCCCCGCTTCCTGATCCTGATCCTCTGATAGTATGACTCTAGTCTCAAATGATCCCAGTTGGTGGCCAATCATCAATGCGAATCTGATCGCCAGCTTTTTTATAGGTTTGTGGAGAGTCAGCCGCATGATGACAGTGATTATTCGATTCACCTTGACTCCAATTTCGCAGTTGCGGCCTCTGCTGGGGTGATGTACGATTGGGGTGAGCAAGACCAAGTATAAAAGAATCACTGATATCCTGATGGTATTCTCAGCGCTTATGTTTGGACAGGAGGTAGGTTGATCCATTACCGGGGCAGACAACTCGTTTAGAATTATGTTATAGGTTGAACTGATCTGGGTGAGCGGGCTCCCACATCAAAAGAACCACGTGAAAATACAACTTGTTCACGACAGAGGCAACGCTGGTCCCTGATGACCTTTCTCTATCTTGGTGTATGTACCTTGTGTTTCAATATTTACACTTAGCAAGTCCAAGTTTTGCTGACTTCAAAACATCCTAGGTGCGCTATGCTGGAATAGGATATGCCGTGTATGTTTGGAAGTTTATTCCATTGATGTTGCTCATTATCCATCTCTCACAATCAGGATGGTCATGTTGAGTATGTCTCCTCGCATATAGTCTGTTTCTTTCATGTGATGGGCGGCATGCAGCCAGTGTTCCAACAATTTCGGTGACAGATGCAGTGAGCATTGCACACATATACCTTCCATTCCCGTCCAAACAACTGAACTACCATGCAGGGGTGATTGAGATTCTGAAATAACTCTTTGGTTCAACATAACAACTCCCACAGTTGTGAGTTTGTTTCGAACCTGTGATCCTCCGAGGGTGATAACTCACGTTGCATGATCTGTCAGGCCTTATCATAAACGATGCAACGGATTGGACTAGTGAGTTTGTCGATGTAATACTGGGTGGTGAGCCATGCACCTCCATGATATTGGCTTGACTGAAGCATATGCAAGTGATCATGATCGCTCGGTTACATGCCATGTATCAGCAATCCAGAAAGGTGCTGATATTTCTCATTGTCATCTTTCTGGCCATCAGAATCGCCAGCGCAGTCATAGTCGCAATAACGATGATGCAGATTTCAGGGGGTGAGCTGTAATTATGTATGAAATGTTAAGTGCATCAGGCTCATTGAAAAATACCAGAGGAATTCGTTCTTTCTGGTACCTATCAGTGCACTATTAGCTACACAGGAGATTCCGTATTTCTGGGTTCCATAACTTGGATACTTACCACTGTATGGGAAGTCGTTGCATTGTGTCTCGCAGTATGGATTGCTGTAAAGCATTTCCGTGAACTGCGACGACACTCAGCAAGAGGTATTATCGGGGACTGTTTCACGGTGTTAATGAAAACTCATGTGAGTTACTTTGCGAGGTAAGCACATAATCTGACTGTGGTTCTCTTGTTCTGCTGAAGTTTTGCACATGCTAGTTTTTTGGCCGTCTCTTGCTTCGAGATCGGTTTGTTCTCCCCAACGCTCTCAGCAGTATGTCGAACTGTCACCAACCTCTGCATGCGACCATGATTTATCATTTCTATAGGATATATATTCGCTGGAAACTCAGATTTATCTTGGTTTCTCTGAGATATTCCATTTTGTGGAGCTGTTTGTACTGGGACCACGCCTGATCCTCGGTGTTCGAGAATATCACGCTGAGCTCATGGCCAACTCTGATACAGCAACCGCCATGGTTTCAATCGCTCTCCAAGAGCATGTCCATGTGTCAACTAGTAGTAGCGTATAGTACGGGAGATACTCGATCGATATCATTTACAATCAGCCGCTAGTCTGTAGAGAGCAGTTTTTGTTTTTATTTATTACAAGTTATGCCCTGTCTTCAATCCGGTTTCAATACCAACTTCATTCTTATTTACTGTGTCTTGGCTAATGTTATTGTTGTAGCGCTTAATCAAGTTATTTAATGTTGCACATATATTTGAAAGAGACATTAATGTGGCTACTGGCGCTGGCTGCTCACCCACGCTTGCACCATGTGGCAAGCTGAAATGTCTAACGACTTTACTTGAAGACAGTCAGTTCCCTCTCAGTGTTGTGATGATTATTCTTGACATATGAATTTATTAGCACAAGCAAGTCACAAATTAGGCAACTGTTAGGGGACCAGGTCTGTAGGCTTGAGGCAAAGTGATCAGACACCATCCCATAATGATGGATGCAACTGCATCATCATTCCGCTCCTAATCTTACCTCCATTCCCCTCCAAGAACACTTGCCAAGCTGAAAGAGAGTAGTAATGTGCCAGTCATGATCCTCATTGTCCTTTTCCTTCGGTGGGCAAGACTTGGGTGGTACGATCAATAAGAAAATGATAGTTGAGGTCTGTCAAATTGCAGTTGAGAACTGCTCGAGGGGCACAATAGCAGGAATAGTTAAGTATGATGGAGGCACATGCTGCCAAGTAGCAGGTTCAGCTAGGAAGAGAATATTAATGAAGTCAACAGACTTGAGAGTTGTTGGGAGCATTGTCGAAGCAATTGTCAGGTATGAGATGTGAGTTCTAGAGTGAGTGAGGTTTGAATGGAAGCTAGGGAGACAGGCTCACCATCTATCAGCAGCAAGGAGGTTTTTTTTTTAAAAAAATTCTTATTTTATTGTCCTTCAGGGTCAAAGACCCTATGTCAGACATAACCCTTTCAGGCTATACTGTCATAATGATGCATCAAAACAGGCTAACTAGCATATTTTGATGATGCATCAACTATGATAGCGAGCAGTGGTGCATCATGGTGGATCATGATGCATCAACCTCAACCCTATGTTGTGAGAACAGGTGAGCAAATGATGGGAGAGGGAGCTAGAACACAAAGGTACAATCTCAGTTTCAACTAGAACTCATATTGGTGTGTATAGTACATAGAACACAAAGGTACACTACGGTTTTGGTCAGCAAATGCTGGCATACATGTTTCCAAGTACTCACATCTCAGTTTCAACTAGAACTGAGATGTGTGCATCTGGTGGGTGCTTGGTTTTATAGCAAGGTAAGTAAGGAACACAAAGGTGAAGTTTTCTGACATATGTATATTGCAGGGCACAAGCCAATGTCATTTGGGCGCAGCCTATTGGCCCATCTGGCTCATGTGCTTGGACCTCTCTCTCCTGCTCGTACCTATCATGTTGGATCCTTCAGCTTCCTCGCTCTCTTTCTCTTTGGATCCTTTGGACTTCAACACCCTATTGGGAATGTGATGCATCACTGATGCATCATCCTCCTGCACCAAATTGGGCTGCACCCAGCATCCATTTGCTGGCATTATACCCTGGTACCTTGCTTCCCTTGTCTGTACCTTGCTTACCTACACTAGATCCAGGCATCCATCTGGCCATCCAGCTATTTAACTCATTTTTGGGAGGCCTCTTACCTTTCCACAGTCTTCACTGAAGCTTGTGCTCAAGTCAAATACGTGCATGATATCATTTTTCAAAATTTTATCACCAAGTCCAGCTCCCTTTCTAAAATATGTATGTAAGGATGAATTTATCCTGCAGAACTGAAACACTGCTGCGCCTTGAATGTATGAACTTCGAACTGAGCATCTTCCTTGTCTGCTTGCACCAGGCATGCAGAACAAATTCTGAACAATATGATAGCACATATTTACATTTCATTCTTGTTCACTGTACAACAAGAAACATTCAATTTAATCACTATTACTGACATGGATACTCGCAACAAGATATGTAGATGAGACACTATTTACTGATTATGTATGACAAGTGTGCCTAGGATGTAGTCATCAGTGCAATGCAACTTGAAGCACATAAAGGACCAACTTACTTCATTGGCCCGCCAATATCATTGTCACGTTCTCTTGCATTGAAGGGTTTGCACACTTGGTGATGCCCATCTGGGAGTGGTTGGATTTCTTCTGCTGAGGAAGTGGGCATGGTCAGTTGTGAACATTGTTGTGTGTGCCTTCCATGATGACGCTGAGCTCCAGCTTGGACTGATGAAGCTGGTGAAGCACTAGCACCATCAGATTCATTGGGTGTTCCCATATCTTCAACATCGGCATGAGGAGCCGGAGGGATTATGACTTGAGAATATTGGGCAGATGATGCATCATCAGTGGGAGGAGCTGGAGGGATAATGACCTGCAAATATTGGGCAGATGATGCATCAGGAGCTGGAGGAATAACAACTTGCAAATATTGGGCAGATGGTGCATCATCAGTGGGAGGAGCCAGAGGGATAAAGACTTTGGGATATTGAGTAGATGATGCATCATCAGTGTGAGGAGCTGGAGGAATGAAGACTTGTGGATATTGGATGGATGATGTGTCATTAGCACGAGGAGCCAGAGGGATAAAGATTTCAGGATATTGTGTAGATGATGCATCATCAGTGTGAGGAGCTGGAGGGATAAAGACTTCAGGATATGGGTTGGATTGAAGGGGGGGGGCTTCAGGGAGAGCATCCAAAATGTTGATGTTGAAATCTGGGTCATTGATGAGAGCAGTAAACACTTTGTGGTCAAACACAGGTAGGTTGGGAGGGTTGTTGAATGAAGCCAAGTGGGAATCACTTGGGAGCTGAGAACCAGATGATGCATCACCTAAGATTTGTGCACATGGAAGTGATGCATCAATTGATGCTATGGTGGCACCAAAATTGTTGATGGATGACTCAGACTGAGGAGTCATCTGGTACATGCCTGCAGTGTTGATTTGATGGATGCTGTTTGGTAGGAGATCATCCAAGTCCTCTTCTTCCACATGATGATCACCATGCTCACTGCCATTCATTGTTGCCCCCTCCTCACTATGCTCACTGCCACTCATTGTTGCCCACTCCTCATCTGAACCATCATGTGAGTCTGATGATGAATCTTCTGCATCCTCAGCATCTGAGTCATGGGGCAGTGTTGACTCAAATGCTAGTGAAAGGTCAGTGTGCTTTCAAACTGACACTTATATTGGACATACCAAGAGTGTCTTTGACGAAGGCTAGGAATGCAGCCTGCACCACATCAAATTTGGTGCAAGTCTGATCAAACTGTGCCCCACTCTCAAGTTCACCAACATGATAGCTTCATAATATTAGGTAAGTGCACTTCCTCATCAACTATCACGTATCACTCACTTGAACACAGACACCTCTCCAGTGCTAGGATCCTTCCCTCCCATAAGGATTGTGAACTTCCACCCACCTGTGGCATATGCAAGGTATTTAAGGATCCAATCAATCATAGGACCAAGCTCATGGATAGCCCTGCAGTTTTTAAATGTGCTTGAGATACAACCATGTGATCAATGACAGAAGTATGTACTTGATCTTGGTTGCGTCATCAATTTTTGGCATCTTCCCTGACTTCTGGCATAGACATGCTTTTGCATGCTTTGCCTTTGCATTTGCCTTCTGGTAATGCCTTTCAACCTTATTCTTGACATCCTTGCATTCTTCAGAGTACAAACAGCATGTGACCTCATGGCACTTATTCAGCTTTGGCCCAGTGGTGAGTAACATTCTGTACTCTGATTTTGGCATCTGTGGTGTCCTTGACTTTTTCTTCATAGTATTTGTAGGAGTAAATGTCCAGTTTTTGTGGTGTGTGAGTCCCCTTAAGTTCCACACCACCAGCTAACATGTGTCAAACTTCAAAGCTCCTTTAACCCCACTTGTGCAGCCCAGGTGAGCAGGGTTTTTCCACCAATGGTACCATGTAGTTATTTGCTAATCAAAATGAGTTGGTATGTGTGTTTTGCATGCTCGCAGATGGTAGTGCTTACCTGTTCATGACTTTCCACAGTGTTTGCCAAATCTTTCACTTGATCTGGTGTAAGGATGTGGTCAGCAGGCAAGTTGCCAAAGAGGGCCCTTCGCTCTGGCCATTTCTCAAAAAATAATTTGTTGACTTTTTTCCAGAACTCCTTGTATTTCTTGGCTGCAGTGTGCATGCAAAATTCTTCCAACATAGAGGTGAGAAATTCCTCTTGCTCGTTGCTCGTCCATTTCTGAGGCATCTATTACTGAGATCAGTAGGAGCAGATGGACAGCATCCTGGCACATACAGCGGTCAGACTGAGGGTCAGTATGTAGTGAGTTAGGGAGGGAGGAGGGATGTTATCTTCTTGTCTTTGTCCTTTGAATATCATAGAGCCTATTTTGATGGACTGAATCACATGACCAAATCACTAGACCAAATCACTGCCTTCACTACCAGTCACTCTTTTTTGATGTTTTGAATCTAATTTAATTCAGAGGATCCTCATTTCTCAGATGTGACATCTACATTACCATCTCCAGCAGACTCACAAAATGATGCTATTTAGTACAATGATATTTTCAACCTCAATATCTACAATCTCTCTGTACATGGTGTTTGTAAAAATAAAGGCTTTGATCTGTGTCTCGTCATGAAATATATAAAACTCCTGGGTGAAAAAAATGCATGGTCCATACCTTCACATGTAATGTTCTGAAAAAGATCAGCCCGACCCATAGCAACAAATAGCCACAAGGCAGACCTGAGGGACATAGACCTACATAGATGCTGTAGGAAGCGCCACCGAAGCAGACTCAGAAGCACTTGATCATCAAAGCAGGGCCTGGACTGGAAGGTATCAGTGCTTCAACCTAGTGAGTGTAGGTGCATACCAGTAGTTAGTTCATATGATACTTACCTGTAAATATTCTGTGAGCACCAGTGTTTGAACATTTGAACAATATCATGCACTTATGGATGAGTTGGCTTGTGAGAGTGCTTGCTTATGTGAGGAGTTAAAGTTAGTGATTGGTACATTGAATTGCAGTCAATACAGTCCTACCATGCTACTAGTTATGCAGTGATATCTCCTCCAGACATATCATCACCCAAGAAATCAGTTGAGGTATGATGTGTCCTAGTAGCTCGGTCATGTCTGCTGCATGTTCAGCATCGAAATGTGAGTGAGCATAGTTCATTCTGAACTGGACAAACTCAACTTCAAACTCATTGTGGTCCTACCATGATTAGATCAGTAGTACTACTTTACAGGTAAAGCTATTAAGGTCCAACCTACATGTCCAACCTACCCAGTGATGATTAACAACTACTCATATCACAATAGTAAGTCACTGAATAACGACTTGGCAAGGTCAGTTCACTCCACTTGAAACTTCAATATTGAATTGCAGATTAAGGTCCAACTGATAATGCTCCACTTGCACTGCACTGGCAGTGATGCTTTAGCAGGTGTGTGTGCATTGTCTCACAATTAGTAGATGTGCTGATCATCATCTGTGCCATGCACCGCACTTACAATTCATTTTATCTACAACATTTGTGGTGTAGTACTCAGCACATGCATGGGCCATTGACAATTGAACAGAGGCTTGTAATTTATATGGTCCAACGAACCAATGGAGGCTCTTAACTTAATACAGTCCAACGACAAATCAAAGCATCTGAAGCTCATCCTCTTTTTTCTCTCTCCACACCAAATGACACCATTGCTTGCTATGGCCCCCCCAAATAAATATAAAACCAATGTGGCTAAGCTTCAGGCTATGAGAGCCAAGCATTCCTGGTACTACACTAAGTAAGTATTGTCTATTTTGTTCAGCCTACAATGCCCTGATTACAGATGCAGGTGCTGTGAGGAGATCCTTGCAAAAAGAAGAGAGAAATACCACCTCAACAAAAACTGTCAAAAGGATGATGACAGCAGCAACAACAAGGGTGTGGGTGACAACTTGGATAAGGGCAATGACAGCAGTGACAAGTGTGCAAGCAATGATGATGAATCAATGTATGTGCTCAATATTATTATTGTCACTGTGTTTTTATTATAAATATCAGAGGGACATTAGCTGAATGTGTTGCTGTGGTGAAGTATGCTAAAGATGACTTCATGGCCCACATCAAATCTCCGCAAAAATTCACCTTGGGCATCTTTGCTGAATACACAAAGTCTATCCCAGATGCTCCTGGAACTCACAGGGATAGAGAGATCCTCAAATGCATGATGTCGAGCATTGAAGACTTCCTTGACAGGGCTAGTCGAGGACAAGATGGTATCCTCCAATTGTGCGGGGTTTGTGATGAGTGGCATACCACAGAACAAGTGTGCAGGAGCATGAGGGACACCATTGCTATGGTGGAAGATATTTATTGTCATGTGCTTAGTGATGGAGATGCTGAGTTAGCTGTAGTTCATTTACTCAAGGGATTCTTGTACCAGAACTACAGTGGATTTTGAATAGGCTTGAGAGGCTTGCACACTAATGTCACTTTGAATTGCATATTTCTCATTGAGATTCACTGCTGCACTACTATGTAAAAGCTTCAGGTACAGTGGCTCAAAAAACTGTCCACATGTTTTGACATTTTTCACTATCTATGATATTGTGTGAGAATGAACAAATGCCTCAAGGACATGCTTATACCATATTGTAGTATGGCTTTAGGGCTTTCATTTGAGCCCTACACCGTGGGAATCGGTGGAGATATGGTGGAGACATAAGGCTTACAAAATCATGACTCATGCGGACAGTTTTTTGAGCGCATATTAAAACTATATAAATCATCATTTATGACACCATAACAATCATGCCACCATTAAATAAATTATAAAGTGGTGTCATTATGTCATTTTAAAACCATATCTAACTATACAAACCAAAAATTTCCATATGTCATGGTTATATTCACCATGAAAGCCACCCCCCCTGTTCAAAGGGATAATATCCTCTCTCTCTCCTATTCTGGCTTCTCTGCTTGTCAAATTTCCTCTAGAACTGGAGTATCCAAGTCCACTGTGGCCAAGTTCATCAAAGAAAGTCACACAGACAAGGAAAACTTCTGTGAAGGGTGTCCATCCAAGCTCACCTCTACTGATAGGAGGGCTATTATTCAACATATCACTACAGGAAAGGCTGATAATGCTGTCCAGGCCACCTATTACATCAATTCCACCATCACATTCCCTGTCTCTTCACACACTGTGAGAAACATTCTCAAGTCTCTGCTCTCATCACCCTCTGAGACTTAGGATTGATTCCTATAGTCTATCCATATCCACCTCTGTCTCCGACAGTCCATTACCATTAGTTTCTAGTCTGGACTCATCTGGATTAGCCCTATGATACTTATCCCTCATCTGGAAGTCATCCGGATCCACTATGCTACTTGTCTGACCTTCCAGATGTGTTAGTCTTGCCTTCCTGAAATAAGGGGCAATACTTGGGTAAGGGGCACAGTGCACAAGCTGAGGCCGAAGCCCTTTGGATCCAGTTATCCCTTGAGTACGACCTTAACAGCCTGTCATAATTTTAAATGGCCAAATGGAGTCAGTGATCTGCAAAAGGGCGAGAAGTAAGTCACAGTCTCATTGCATTTGTATTTACTATGTCTTATCATGCTTGACAGGTACATCAATATGGATTATTATTTTTCTTGACTTTGTGTGGTATGCAGCTCGAAATGCTCAATGTGTCATATGATATTGTGTGCCAATGGCACAAAAACCTCTGGGCCCACATGAAGTCCTTTCCTCAATCTCATGCCTTGGACCATCTCACCAAGTATATATGCTTCTTCATGCCAAAGTTCCACCTCCTCACACATGTTGCAAAATGTCAGACCATCTTCTCATTCAATTTCACATGTTATGTCAGCCAGACAGATGGTAAAGCCCTGGAGAGGGGCTGGTCAAATATCAACCCTGTGGCATCAAGTACAAAAGTGATGGGTCCTGGTTGTTGTCATGACATGCTGGACAACCATTTTGGCAATTGGAATTGGGAAAAGACCATTGAGTTGGGCACATCTCTCCTGTACAAGATGAAGGATGCTCTAGCTGAGAAGGCTGTGCATGCACTTGCATTTGAGGAATTTGATGCTGTCATCACTCCTGAGCATCACTCTGTGTGGTTAGAGGAAATGCAAGCTTGGGAAGATAATCCGAATGACACATTGATCTCTAATCTGCTTGAGGCCAAAGCCATGGGTGAGTATTTTCTGCTATTAAAGTGACCTTGGACTAATGATTTTGTCTAGCTATAATGCAAGCAGGAGTAAGGCTAAAGCTTGCAGAGCTGGAGGCTGAGGAGCTTCAGCGAGGTATAGACTCCTCATTGCACCCACAAATCTCACATAGTGTGCTTATTGCTTCAGGCATAGACCTGGAAGAGGAACAGTGAGCATTTGCCCTTTGACGGCCACAAACAAGCTGACATACTTTTGAAGGCATCATCTGGCCAATATTGCTGAGTTGATGGATCAACATGCTACCAACATGCAGAAAGGCAGTCTCATGCAGATGCGGAACTTGCTTTGTCATAGGATCAATATGTGGTGACACACACAGGTCCTTTACCTCCCAGCTGTTCAAGGCCTTATTGATCAGGCAGCCACACATGAAGGCCATGAGAACACTGAATGTATACACCTCTGGTTACCTTCAGAACTGAAAACCAAGCCATGCAATCCACACCTACAAGAGGATGAATGGGAATTGCACTACATGCAGGCTCACGATGTGCTAGAAGAACTGCAGCAGTGTCTATGCATTCACTGCTCCTTACTGACATTCAAAAGGGAATGGGTGCATAGTCAAGGTGCAAATACCTGTGCTCAGAATGCCCTTGCCTGCATCCACTGAAGGTGTACAGCCTGTGTGAAGTGTTATTGGTCAGCATGGATGGCACTCAAGAGCCTAGCTACAATCATGAAGAAGACCAGTTGGCAGGGCAGGTTGCAGGAATTGGCCAACACTCATGTCAAGCCCCTCATGGACCCATATGCTACTGGTGAAGGGAGACGTCATGTATTGTGAATTTGGATGATGGACGGCATTGACCATGGCAATGAAGGTGACGATGATGGTAAGCACTCATCATGATCTATATTTTGCGAACTAACGTACTATAAGGTGTACAAATCAAGTGGTGCAAAACCCATGCGAGGGCACTGCAGTGGTCAGAAGAAGTCGAATTACTCACAGAAGAGATGTGCAGGGTGCTGGAATTTTTTACCTGGCAGCAAGCACAGTGGGAAGAACAGGGAAAGGCATGCATTGGGGAGTGTGCTGCTGACATTGAAGGTTTGCAAGCTTATGCTGCCTGACAGGCTTGCAGACCATTTTTTGGTGCTGTGGGCACCCTTTCTTTCGCTGGAAGGTCCCATTGACCCACCACCTCAGTTGGCCAAACATTTGTTACTGGACCTCATGATTCCTGACATTCTCTAACCTACTTCTGCACTGTACCTGATATTCAATCCATCACCGGCTGTTATTTGACATTCAAAGTGAATTAAGTTGCTGAAGACTCAACTGGAAAATTGACTGAAATACAAATGACTGAGCTGCAAAGTAATTGACCAAGCCATACATACTATAGGACTGCTAACTAGCATGTTGTAATGCATCACAAGAAGGCTAAATAGTACAGTTGATGCATCATAGCTACAGGGACTGGTGACCCTTTTTATGGGGGGTTTACTCCCATTTATCTATCGTATGTATATGTATGCTTGTCATGTGTTATGTAGGTATTCACATACTCCATCAGCATGATGTCAGGCAAAGGCTGATGCTGAGTTCATACAGGGGGAAATAAATGTGGTGGGTGATGAGGTTGTTACTTCTCACTTAGCTACATCAGTAAATCCCAATTTTCCCACAGGTGTCACAGAGCCTCACAGTTTGCACAGGTTCACAGTACACAGTCCAAATCCACCCACAGATTTCAATATGTATTATGGCCTGTAAAAACTCACAGAGTCTCCAATGTGCTAGTACTACTAGTGTAGTATTGATAATTATATACTTGTAGTACCAGCACAAAACTTGAAGTACTAATGACACAATTCAACATGAAGTTCAAAGCTCACTAGATGATAGTACTGATTCTATCAATTGACAACACAAATTGTACCATACTACATATGAGGTTTCAACATAAGCTTTGCATACAACATCAGCAAAACCCTGCTTTGGGTACAGCACCACAGCCACACAGCATGTCACAGGTCACATAGATTTTGTTGTAAAGGCTCTGCAGCACCACACAAGTATTTTTACATACTATGTAAACATGAGTATAATGTAGTCACAAACATGTATATAACAAGATGGTGTGCTAATAATTATGTTTTATTGAGAAATTGTGTAGTGTGCAGCACTGTACAGCACTGTACATGGAGGGACCTCACTGTGACACTGTGATTGCTGTGCAGCATTGTGCAGCGCTGCACATAGGGTCAGGGTTTTGCTGATGAACACATAGGAACAGTAACAATGGCAAGACAGTGTAATACAACACAATGAAAATATTAATTAAGCTTAATCATGGGGAGCCAGCCATGCAAGACATTTGATGTCATTCCTGTAAAGAAGTTAGAAACCAATATTAACACAGAGTGCATGTCACACTTACCACATGAATGTGATCCACCACCTTGTTCCTGAGGGATACAACTAGGAGGGACAGACCAACCATGCACATTGAAAACAATCCTCATACATCCCAGGCCAAGATCTGTATCATCTAGCCTCTTCTCAGCAGCTTCCTCTTGGAATTTAAGTAGGCTTGCAAACACCTCATTTACTTGCACTACACAATCTGTGAGCACCTTCTGAGCCTGGTAAACATCACACTTGGCTCTCACAAGATTCAACATAATCTTTGCCTTGGATTCAGTTGGTTCTTGGACAGACTATATTGAAATGTAAATTGTACAAGAATAATGGACAACATGGATGACTCACCATAGTATTTACAGCTTCAAGAACTTCATATAGGTTGCACATACTATTAACATCATGATTGTCATCATGAATTTCTTCATGTGAGTGAGTTCCAGTGTGAGAGCAGGAAGCACTTGCTGACAGCAATTGCAAAGTATTAAGATCAAACTTGAGTGACAAAGATAACATGAGGAAAAGAATGGACTCATGGAAAATGCTGGACCATTTGATCTGCATATGCTGCATGCTAGTATACTCTTTCTCCACAATCAGCTTTCTCTGTGAGCATGCCGCCAGCTCATTGTCCATTGTGTGGAAAAGAATTCAGGGATCATAATTCCATTGCTTGCCATATGAGCCAACCATGGTCTGGATGCAATACATGGTTAGAAGATTTAATTCCATGCTCCCACCCAGTGAAGACTTGGCAGATGATCCTATGGCAGCAGGTGACATCAATGAATCTTATAGTTTTCACCATGAACAAGGAGAGCATTTTAATGAGGGCTGAAATTGGGGCAAAGACTGTGAAGCTAAAGTAATGGGCTATTTTCCTGAACCCCTGCTAGCCTTTGAGGAGGGCTACACATTTTTGAGCTTGTTTGATGCTGATGAAAACAGTATCTATCACAAAACAAACCTATATTATCCATTTACCAGCCAGAAGGAATGGGAGATGTCAGCATGGGCAAGATAGATTCTTTCCTGTCACTGGAGATGGTGAGTTCCTTAACTTCAAACACATTATATTGGTAGCTTGATTCATGGAGCATTTAGATAAATGATTTACCTCTATCATTCCACTCAGCCAAAGAGTTGCAAGGTCAAGCTGAAATGCTGCCAGGGGGTTCACATTGGAAGTTGCAAGTGATTCATACATCCCATTCCACAAAAATGCTGGTTGTCCTCTACTGGTGGGATCCGCTTGATTGCATTGCTAGTATTTTCAATCATCCCTTATTTCACAACCATATAGACTTCACCTCTTGCAAAGTGTATACCACAGCACAGAAGCTGTCTCGGGTATACACTGAGTGGATGACAGGCAAACATGCTTGGAACATGCAGGTCTGTATTACGTTGATCTCAAAGTCATCACCTCATTATTATTAAAGTTGGTGCTACCTCATGGTGCAACTCTACTTGGTATCATTCTATCCTTGGACAAGACCTGTATCACTGAATTGACAGGTGATTGTGTTGCTCATCCACTACTTATCAGCCTCGCCAATATCCACATGAATACACAATTGAAATCATCCTCAAACGCTTTCCTCCTCACTGCCCTTCTACCAGTCCCCAAGTTCATGCATAAGAAGAAATGGATGAAGGGTGTATTACAGGATTGGCTTGCCCATCAGTGCTTGGATGTTGTACTAGAACCACTGAAGTTGGCTGCTCAACATGGTGTAAGGATTCCATATTCTCTACACCCCAACCAAGCTTTAAAATGAAGACCAACAAACCATGTGGTTGCAATTGTCCATGTGACTCATTGATGCAAAGAGCGCAACTCTTCACATCCAAGTTACATGGATACATTCCTTCATCTCCTTTGTCCATTTTCTTTTGTTACCTTACCTTGTGTTCAGACCTCACCATCTCCTTGTCTCACTGAAGTATTTTCACCTCACCTTATGCTTCATGTTCTCGTTCCAGCCTAGTCAAGTATTCTAAAATGTATATATACTGCTCATGTACCCTCCTACCTACAGTGAATCTTAGAGTCAGATCCCTGCTCCAAGAACGACCAAAAAGTCCCCCAGAAAGTCTCTGTCACAGCCGTTTCCCAAACTCATCTCAAAACTATCCAACTCATCTCTCTTCAGAATCATTTTTATTTGCAATTCCATACCAAATTCACACTTAGCCTTACAATAGCACCACATTGTCAGATCTGACTGGATGCAGCCATTATTGCTTCACCCCCCTTGCTAGCTACATCACTGATACCCTGGAAGTGATGATGCTGGCATGTGTTGGTGGAAAGACATCTCCAGTAACCATGGCTATGTACAGACAGTTTGGGGATGCCTTTTGACATGAACCCCAGACAAAATCAACAACTCTTGCACAACTGGATATTGTGCACTCACACGCTGATCCACATGACCTTGAGGCATTCTTCTGTGAGTTGCAGAAATTCCATCTGAATGGTGTTGAGAAACCATTCTGGAGTGATTGGCCACTAGTCAAACCCTCCCATTTCTTCACTCCTGAATCACTGCACCATATTCATAAGGAGTTTTATGACCATGACATCCAATGGATTATTGTCACTGTAGGAGAGTCCAAATTAGATTTTCACTTCTCAGTTTTACAGCCTACTACTGGTTACCAGCATTTTCATGAAGGCATATTGAAGCTAAAATAAGTGACCGGTGTAGGGATTTCATTTACTGTGGGCTTGTATAGGCAGATATTACTTAGTGTTATGTTCGCACTTTTGGTGCTTATGTAATCATCATAGTCTTCACCTCTTACCAGTACCAGTCTGAGACTGAGCAGTTATTAGCATGATTTCCTACTCTCTCTGAGCACTGAGCTTAGTCCAGAAACCCTTTAGGGTTGAATAGCAGCTAGGCATAGCACATTTAGCCCAACATTAGAAGTCTACTTTCCAGTTCTCTTCTTGTTGTGTTTCCCATACCAGTGTGAAGTAGAAATAGGTACTAGGCTGTTAGCAACTAGCACTACTTATCCTAAGAGGTGTGAGTTGGTAGATCGGCCCAAGAGGACTGCTATTGAAGCACTTCCTTTGAATATATGCAAGGGAAGCAAGTGAGCGAAGGAGTTAAAATCTATAGCAGCCTAAGAAACTAGAGCACAGGCTGTATGTATACCTTCGAGTTCCTATGTCAAAGAATCAACTGTGAGTGCAGGCAAAAATCAACCAGTGTTAGTATCACAAGCATGAGATGAATACCAAGGGATATGTGCAAGTGCAGTGAATGCCAGATACTGGTGTGGTAGATGAAACACACACAAAATCAACCACACTCAATATAGCAGGTGGATGCAAGGGAAATAGTGCAAGAGAAGGACTGTGCTAAGTTACTGGTTGTGGGTCGGGTGTTCTTGCAAGAGCCTAGATATAAGGTCTTAGCAGTACAGAACTTTAGAGTGGTTGAATGGCACAAGATTGTCAAGTATAAGCAAACAGAATGAATTGCACAAGGTCTACAAAAATAATGTGGGAGCAACTCTCCTATAGAGCTGAGTCCCAGGGGAAAAGGAACTAACTCAATCATATGTACTGTGGTCATTTTATCATAGCATGTGAAGGTCTGGAATGTGTAGGTGAGAATTGTAGCGTAGTTAGCGAGTGCACAATGAGTCTTATAGGTAATAAGACATCATGCACTGCAGAATGTGAGTAACATGTAATAAGACCTGCAGCTTGTTTAGCAATGATATTTGGGAAAAATAATGCACCAGTGGAGATAGGTGGACATGGATAGGACATGGGAGGATGGATTCCTAGGACTGGACTGAAGCTAAATGGGAGCACAGGTCGCGGGAGAAGTGTGCACCTATTTTCAAAGGAGCATACTAATAGTGGATGAGTTGATATATGTGGATTAATGATCAGCACTTTATCTCCTTTCCTGGTAGTGAGAAGAACTGTGCTGGTGATCATACATGTCTAGTGCCAGTATGATCATCACACTGGTCACTGTCATCGAGACATTCAGTGATTGATCATTGCACTCAGCACAGATGCAATGCCTCTTGGTATCATGGTTTCCATATGTGCACTCATGCACTTCCATTATCTCATGCAGTCACCACACATTGACAATGACAATCTTGCCCACATCTCGGCTGCATTGGATGAGTTCCATGTGAATAAGCATGCAATCATCACTGCTGGGGTTCACCAGGGAAAAGGCAGTACAGCCATTGACAACTGGCACATACCCAAGATTGAGCTAATGCAGAGCATTGTTCCCAGCATCCATAGCTCTGGCATGATAGGACAGTGGTCCGCTGATGCCACTGAACATGCACACATCATGGAGGTCAAAGACCCTGCAAGATCAACCAATAACAATAATTATGATCTGCAAATATGTTGATATCTCGACCACACTGACAAGTGTAATAGGTTTGATCTTGCTACCAGTCTTTTGGACAGCAAGCTGAGCATTAAGGATCTGGAGGTTGTCTGAGAAGAACACAAGAATGACTTGGATGATGTTGATATGGACACAAACATTATCTCCATGGAATTTCCATCCAAGACTCAAGAACCTGGTCAGCCGCATCCTATCATGGACTATGTCAGCACCCATTGTCAATGACATACCTACACTGGACAAACTCACTGCTCTCGAGCTCAATCACTTAATCTTGCATGAATTGTTACTGCCAAATGACAATGTGGAGCTCAGTTATATGCTGTTGCAGATATTTAAATCATTTACCTTTCAACTCCCAGATGTGACAGAGCTACAGGTCCCATTACATAAAATTCACTATTGGGATGACAGACTTCACAGAAAGTTCACCACAACAGGCAAAAATGACCTAGTTCACCTATATGACAAAGATCAGTGCCAGTGGAACTGGCCACTCCCAAAATCATACCATGATCAGGTTGAGCAATGGCTGCTCACTGGTAATGGGAGTCTTGCCAGTGGAGATGGGCAGGAGCAGAGTGTCATGGCAAGTGTGGAGTCTGAATCTGGAGGTAGAGGTAGCCTGAGTGGTAGCTTGCCCTTGGAGGAAGAACCCACCTCTGGGTCACAGCCAGTGGACAATGACAACAACACACCATTGCCACTGTTTGAGGGAGTCTTTGTGATGTTTTTCAATGTTATATGTTTCACGCTTGCCCAGAAGGTGCCAAAGATTGTCCAGGAGACCAATCCAGTGCCATGCCTGTGGAGTGCAGGAAATGCTACATGCCATGTAAAAGATGAAGAAGTTGCGTGAAAACCTGACCTTGCATTATTGGACAATGTAGAAGCTCGATAGGATGCCATCAAGGCAGTTTGTGAGCTGATGGCACAACCATACTCAGCTACTGGGACAATAAGAAATACATTTGATAACAAAGCATACCTTCTCTTCAGATGCCAGCCTTGGAGATGGTTTGTTCTACTCACATCCATAACCAAAGGATATCACAAACTTCAAGTCCATATGTATGACCACTTGGGTGCTGTTGTGACAGCCTCCCATTAACATCAACACTCACCCAAATGATTACTTGCACATCTTTTCATGCCTTGTTTTTAGCAAACTTAAGCACCTGGGGTATGATCCCTCAATCACCATCTTTACAAAGATACTTTGAGCTGTCTAACTTGAAAACATATCAACTTTCCTTCAGCCTAGTATAAACAGGTCACCTGCATCAGATGTGATGGAAGGTGTCATCAAGGGCACCCACTACTCTCACCACCAAATCAAAGACATCTTTGGGGACATGGTACCCCCCTCCCCCAGATTGATGATGCACCTGAGATCACCCCCCAAAGCAATCCTGCACTTGACCTTCCTCAGCAAGATATCCTGGATGATTCACACCCTATGCATCAGCTAAATATCCCTGATGATCCTCTTTGTGTTTCTCTTGCTAAGCTAATCAGCCAAATCCTGGTCAATGATCACACAGTACAACATCCTTGAAATGATATTTTTTAGTCAAGGACTCATTGGTTGTGGTACTGTTTGCTATCTGGTGTGGAGAGATGATGAAGAGTATATTATTAAAGATCAGTGGGTTCTTGGAGGTAAAGAGGACACCTTGAATGAGATCAGGATGCTGCAGGTGATGCAAGACATCTGCAATGTCCCACAACTCAATGAACATTGGCTTGTTGAGATCAGGCCTGTGGAGGTTGATGAAACAAAGTTTTATCATTACAAGCTGTTGAAAAGTATTCAAAATGTTGTCTGTACACATGCTTGTTTGGTGTTGAAGCCTCATGCATGACCTTTGCACATGTTCCAGACAAAAGCAGAATTGCTTGGTGCTATTCAGGACATCATCAAAAGTAAGTATGTATTCAATACCCTCCCTCTTTAACTGACCCAATCTTTCAGTTCAAATGATAGCAGTGGAAGAGCAGGGCATTCTTCATCACAATTGCAGTCTCAACAACTCAATGATTGAAGATGATGGTAATGGTGTAGAGAATGAGATTCCTCCAGGCATAGATCACGCATATTTTGACTCACAACAATTGGTATAGCGCATGACTCACTCCCTATGACTTTCCCATGAAATGTGCCAGAGGCATGACACTTTCCTGCACTATGCGACGCATTCCCATGCACACTGCTTAGTGCGCTCTTCCCAGTGCTCAATTGCCCTTTATTGTGCAGCATCCCAGAGTGTCCATCCATCATCCAACCAGTCCCCTGGTGTGTCCTTTCCATTTATTCTCATGTCTGGCATTGTACAATATCTTATTTCATCATGGACCCTTTATTTACATCATTTACATACTTAGAGCGCTCCCTATTCACTTCTGAGCCCTGGGAGCACGCCTAGGCACAGCTTACTTGTTGCCTAGGAAGTTTTCAGACCATCAGCACCACAGAAAATATGAACCACCATCATGTCAGTTAGTCTCTAGAGTGAGAATCTATTGTCTTCAGTTAGCATGCTTCAGTCATCACCCTAGTCATCAGCATCACCCTATTATTATCACCTGTCCACTCAACAGTCTCAATCCACATCTTCACATCATTCACCAGTCTTTACACGTTTGTGCACAGCACACACCTTATTCCCATGCTTCACACCCTTATGCGCTTGACATTCCCACATGCACACTCCCAGTGTGCTTCACCAGAGTTGACCTGGTGTTACCTTGTGGATTTGCTTTCCTTGCTTCCCTTAAGGGTCAAACATATCGCTTGGTGCACTTCGACCAACACCTTAGAGAGTCAGTAGCCTTCCTCTCAACCCAGAGGTAGAGCCCTCTTTCTTTCTTTTGCTCCACAGCCTAGCAGAGCTGTTGAACCTTCAACGGATCCCATGGAACTTTGATTGATTGGGAGTTTGCCATGTATATTGACCCAGGTCAAAAATACACTAGAGGTGGGACAGTGAGCTCTATTTTTTAAACATATATTTAAGTCCATGTCTTAACAACAACACCAACAATTGGGGCACAATACCTTTCATGTTGCAGTCACTCCTGTTCCAGCTCTCTGAGGCCATTAGTGGTATTGCAATGCCTGATCACAGCTTTAAGCATGCCTCAAATTCACATGTGATTTCAGCTCATCTGATCATACACCACTATGAAGACAATCTTGAGTTGGTCTTCTATGTCTTCATATGGATCTGTATTGGATACAGGGGTCCCCTGGGCGTTAAGTGTGTGCTTGATAAAAGATACAACTGGCTACTACACAAATGGCCTGCCACCACATTCAAGGACTGCAACAACAAGAAGACTACATTCTTCTACCATCCACACACACAAGTTTGAGGAGCAATTCCACCCCTATTTTAAAAACCTTGTCCCACTCACAGTCAAATGGTACAAACTCATTAGGAGTAAAGGACCATCACACGCAATAACTTTCCAGGAGGTGCTTGATTTGTTAGATAATCATCTTGCCACACTTCCAAAGGAGCTTTCCCCTGAGCTTCTGTTTGCATGGAAGGTCCTTAAGGGACTTCCAGTACCTAATGTTCCTGTCACTACTACTGCAGGTCTTACAGTCAGTGGTGAAAGTTCAAAGCAAAAGCTAACAGACAGTGATGTAGACTAACCTGGACCGACTGCAGTTTGAGACATGATGTATGGGGGTTGGATCTAGATGATGGAACCTATACCACAGCCAAAGCACAACAAAACTACTTAATATATATATACATCTCACTTGTATGTTACAAGGTGCATGATATTTCACGATCTTTCTTACATTTGGGCTTATGACTGCATGAGTCCTACATAATGTTGCACAGCTGACTGGATTCCCACAGTGTTTGAGTCAGGTCTGAACTCTGACTCAAACCAACTCAGCATCAGGCAACATAACCTGGAACTTGGAGGAAAAAGGACATATAAAGTGTGCAAAGGAAAGTAACTTTCTCACTGGTTCTGACTCACTGACATACACAAGGACTTTAGCATATTTCATTTTCTCCATCTTGAAGCTGCCTCCGGATCACATTGGAGGACATTGAGGGACAAAGGGATAGAAGGAGTTGATTTGGCACCATGCATTCATTATTATCTCATGTCTGCCCTCAGGGCTTAAAAGGTGAGTCTTTGTGGATTGCACTTTGGGACTCAATTCATGTTTAACAGTCATGCCTGATAGCCTGAAGAAAAAGTGGGCCAAGCGCAAAGCTGTCAAAAATGATCTCAAGGCTCTCAAGTCCAAGAGATCATGAGCTCAGCACAAGGTACCTCCAGTGATGGCTCTCGATGTGGATGACTCTCAACATCCTTGATGTTCAGGACATCCAGGTGTGGGGAAGGAAGGCAGGAACACTCAACTAGAGCAATTAGATGCCATCATGGATGCTCCAGTGCAGGCTAGCCAGCCTAAGGGCTCTAACTCTTTTGATTCAACTGTTCCTGTAAACCCTGTTGCTCCCAAACCTCCCTGCAAGGGTCATGGAGGTCATTCAAAGGTAGATTTGTTTAATTCTAGGTAACTGCACTAATCATCCAGCAGAAAAAGCAACCCCCTCCCCATATCATATCTCAGAGCAACTGATTTCCAATGCCATGACTCCCAATGTTATGACTCCCAATGTTACAATTCCAAATGCCAAGATTCCCAGAGCACACCCGAAAACAAAGGTGAGTTTTTGGCATGGCCTATTAATGTTTAATTTGTTATTTCACAGACCATTGTTCCTCCTCCACTGAGCATGGCAGCAGTGAACAGCCAGCCCACTCCTATACAATGCAAAGATGGTGAATGGTTTAGATTTTCACCTCACATTGTCCCCCCTGGTATGGAACCTGACCTCAAGGCTTTAAACAACTCATTCATGGCTGCAGCTGAAGTGGCACACATTTTGTCCACTTCCAATGCTTCTCAATGTCAGCTTCCTGGTATTGTTCCTAATGCTTTTGGCAGTTGTCTTGTTAGTGGTGAAGACTCATCACAGATGGTATTCTTGAGGATGATGACTTCAATCACTGCAGCAGATGACCACTTTTACCAGAATTTGGACCCTGCCCTCTGGCCAACTGCATCACAAAGTACAGAATCCAAAAGTTCCAACTCTAGTGAGGGTGAGAGTTCATCTGACAATGATAGCAAGGATGAGCAAATTGGTTGGGGGGGAATTGGTGGGCATCATAGCACACACCCTGGTAAGTTCCTGCCATTGCCACTTGTGATTGTGCTGACAAGTACTAGGTTTTTCTGGGGAAGGGCGACCATCCCAACCTCAGGTGGTGTCCACTCTTCCCCCAGATTTTGAATTTCAATATTCATGTGATGAAGATGACCAAGTGGCTGAGAAAAATTTGGTGGTTGACAGCAGCTCAAGCGATAGTGATGTGTCAATGGATGTCAGGAGTACTGCTGAGGTATAAGCCCAGCAGTTATTTGGAGTGTGCTAATTTTTCTTTTCTTTTCAAGCTGGATGATGTCTTAAAGCTTCATCATAAGAAGAATGGTCATCCCCAGATGCCTGAACCTCAACTCAAAGGTGAACACAGGTGGCTAAATCTTCGGTAAAATCCAAGGAGGTTGGGGGGCCTAGTGCCACCCAACTGGGTTGGTATGGTCCTCACTGGAAGAGTTTCCTTGAGGATGCCAAGGGAGAGTGTTGTGCACAGCAAGCATTGGAAAACCCCTTCCTGAAGCTTGTTGAGGATCTGCCAATCTCTATCACAGAATCTCTTTCAGCATCCCTCATAAAATGGCTCAAAAATGGTGGACAAATTGAACCCAGTATGTTGTCATTTCCCTCGAGATATTATGCTAACTCAGGACATTTACCAGACATGTGGCCTGCTCACAAGGCTGATATGGCAAGGCTGGTGTGTGTATCTCTCTAATTATGTGCCTCATGCTCATGTCTTTTCTAGCTGTATGATGATTTGGCAACATGGTGTTTGGACCTCAAAAAAATTGCCATCATGCCTTCTGCATACAATCTTGTCCCCTCATCCACTATCCCCATTCAACAATGCACAACCTGGATTGAAAACACTGCCACAGATTTACTAGAAGTTTCCATGTACCTTCATAATGGAGTGGATGAGTTGGGAGAAACTAGGAACTTTGCTCACCTTGGGCTTTGCAAGGCTGCCATAGTTTTCCTGTACACTGGACCCTATCATATTGCTCATTGGCAACCCAATATATTTAGGAAGGAGATACCATTGACTTGCTTAGCTCTTGTCTGCACAGTGGTATTTTCTCAATACTGGCATGCTGCTGATGTGCTGACACTTTTTTAGTTGAATTGCATCTTTGATGGCCTTGTTAAAAATGGGAACAGAAAATCTTTCCCAAAGTTCACTGCTAAGGAGTATGAACCCATTTACAAAACAATGCTCCAGCTTCTCCAAACTGTCATGGAAGACCTTTACCACAGTCCCAGGCTGGTGCAGCAGCTTCATGCATGGGCTGAAGCCAGATGGTGAGTCTTGGGAGCCTTTTTACAATGTTCTGCACTGACAAATTTCTCAAAGGGCAGAGTCCTGTAAGCTCAATGGCATTGACCCATCAAAGTGTCACCACCTGCACAACCAGCTTGATTGAGCATTGTAGTTACTGTGCATACCTCATATATCATTTTTGTTCATTGTCATTTAGTCATGTTTTTACAGTGGCTCAAAAAACTGTCCACATGTTTTTGCATTTTTTACTATTTACAATATTGTGTGAGAATACATAAAGACCTCAGTGACATGCTGATACCATATTGTAGTGCTGCTTCAGGGCTTTGGATTGAGCACCACATTGTGAGAATCAGAGGAGATATGGTGGAGATACAAGGCTTACAAAATCATGACTCATGTGGACAGTTTTTTGAGCACATATTAAAACTATATATGTCAAGAACCATGTTGCTCAAGGGGGAGAGAGACTGACTCAGAGGGGCTTGGCCTCAGCTCATACACTGTGCCCCTTACCCGAGTATGTGCCCTTCATTTCATATGAGGTCCGATGATGGTCCGACAAAGTCCAGAGGGCTTCCAGAGGAGCGCGGGAGAGTTCCGGAGGAATGCAGGAAGTGCTCTGGAGAGTTCCTACTGCAAGGTAATACTTCTACAGGAAACAGGATGGAAGGATAGGAGGTCTGAAGGTCCGGAGGACAGAGGACAGAAGGACAGGAGGACAGGAGGGCAGGATGACGGAGGACAGAAGGACAGGAGGATAGGATGTCTGAGGGTTAGGAGGATGGAACGTCCAAAGGACAGGATGCCAGGAAGTACAAGGGACAGGAGGTCCGGAGGTATGGAAGGAATAGGGGCTACATCGGACTTCATCCGATGTAGAAACAAGCAGGGGTAGACTACCCTAAGGTAGAGTCGGAGGGACAGGGATTGGACCTAAGTCCAGAAAGAGAGTAAGTGCCGGAAAGGCGGAGCTCTGGCCTAGGGAATCAATCCCTAGGCCTGATGGGTAGGACAGACTTAGGTGGACCAAAGTCTGAGAGAGGATTGGGCAAGTCTAAGTTGATATTCAAACTGAGGAACTACAGGAGTATCTACAGGGGTTATATACTGGACAATATCTGAGGGGATCACTAAGCAAAGGAGCAGGGCTATGTACAAGCATGCAGAAACACATTAGTAAGTAAGACAGAACATAAGTAAATGAACTCGGAGATGAAGACTCATACAAGGATCAATAAGCAAGACGGAACAAGAGGTAACTGAAAGCTGGAAAGCAGAGAATGCCTAAATGGGGATAGGCGCAGGATATTGGACAGAGGGTGGGAATAGGTCTGGAGCTAATATCCAGAGGTCTGGAGATCTGGGGATCTGGAAGACAAGGTGGATACAGGACCGGGATATGAGAAGGTGGATAGAGTCCGGAATCCAAGATGAGGTGAAGTCCGGATGTCTTGCTGGAAGGTCAGTAACAAGGAAGAAAAGGCTCTCCTCTCTATCACACATATGCAGAGAGGACTAGCACCCTTCTTTCTTCACATATATATCTTGCCATCTGACCCAATCCTATTTATTGTGGTCTTATATGATCATATAACATGCTTCCAGTCCATATAATCCAATTCTGATGGGCTAAGGCAAAGGTTAGTCATATCTGTTTATGTGTGATAGAGAGGAGAGCCTTTTCTTCCTTGTTACTGACCTGAGATGAGCTGTCTTGAGAATGTTTCTCACAGTGTGTGAAGAGACAGGGAATGTGATGGTGGAATTGATGTAATAGGTGGCCTGGACAGCATTATCAGCCTTTCCTGTAGTGATATGTTGAATAATAGCCCTCCTATCAGTAGAGGTGAGCTTGGATGGACACCCTTCACAGAAGTTTTCCTTGTCTGTGTGACTTTCTTTGATGAACTTGGCCACAGTGGACTTGGATACTCCAGTTCTAGAGGAAATTTGACAAGCAGAGAGGCCAGAATAGGAAAGAGAGAGGATACTATCCCTTTGAGCAGGGGGGGTGGCTTTCATGGTGAATATAACCATGACATATGGAAATTTTTAATTTGTATAGTTAGATATGGTTTTAAAATGACATAATGACACCACTTTATAATTTATTTAATGGTGGCATGATTGTTATGGTGTCATAAATGATGATTTATATAGTTTTAATATGTGCTCAAAAAACTGTCTGCATGAGTCATGATTTTGTAAGCCTTGTATCTCCACCATATCTCCTCTGATTCTCACGATGTGGTGCTCAATCCAAAGCCCTGAAGCAGCACTACAATATGGTATCAGCATGTCACTGAGGTCTTTATGTATTCTCACACAATATTGTAAATAGTAAAAAATGCAAAAACATGTGGACAGTTTTTTGAGCCACTGTATATCATGTGATTCAATCTATTGTTGATTGTATCTATTGTTAGACAGGGGTTCAATAAGTGGTACAGAAGTCATTTCTGCACTGGTCTGTGAGTATCTGTACAAACACATACAGAGCAAAATGATACTATTGAAGACTTATTTGATATGTACTGGGTGGGTCTGTGAGTGTCTGTACAGGTATTGACAAAGAAAGGTGCTACTGTAGTGAGCTAGATAGTAGGGACTAAGCTGTATATCTGGGGTGCTGTCTAGTTCTGTGTGGGTCTGTCCAGGGTGTGGGAATTTACTGATGTACTACTGTAAGTTAAGTAATGTATGAATATTACAGTATGGCCTGGTGGCCAAAATGTGTGAGGTATGGGAATAATCTATGAATGTAGTAGCTGAGTACCATTATGGGATCAATGCAATACAGGCACCATTATGCACAAAGGGAAGCATTGAGGGATTAGCAACAGCCATGGTTATGCATCACCCTGCCATGAACAGGTGCACACCCTTGACATCCATTGAATGTTGTCACAGTATAAATTTTAATTTCCTCGAACTTCCTGGTACTAGAGTAGCAGACCAGCTCACTGTAGCATGCTGTGTAGTACTACCTCAATCATATATCACTGTACCATCTGTAAATCTATAAAGTAGGGTGGAACGGGTTTCAGGATGTCACAGATGCTTGCATGGCTTTTGCTTATTTCATGTATTTCACTAAAGGCCACATGGGAACACTTAGCTCACTTAAACCTCGATTTGGGAATCTCACATGGCCCAGTCATGGGTTTTCAAGCTCCGACTCAATACTGTTGCCCATTTGAGTGCAGCACATGTCAATAAATAATTGATGAAAAATTGAATGAGAGAACAGGGGAATGGGGGAATGGGCCAAAGGTGTGAGCGGAGCGAGCACTTTTGGTCCATTCCCCCATTCCCCTGTTCTCTCATTCAATTTTTCATCAATTATTTATTGCACATGCTAGGATGCAGCCAAGGCCAGGAAGCCAAAAAGGAGCACAAAGCACTTCATTTGCTTCCTGTGCTGAAGGCACAACAGGTGTGAAGCTAGTACACTATGAGATGCTGTAAGTCACTATAAATATATCACTACTATGGGTGCCTGCATTGCTGTAAGATACTGTAAGCAGCTACGGCAGCTGTGATAAATTTAGAGTTTTGCTGATACATTCTGATTTATACCACCTTCCACTTCTTCAAAGTCATATGACTGCCCTCATCGCCTCACCTGTCAATCATATTCTATGACAGGAAGCTGGATGCGAGTCATGCAACACATGTATATACTTGTGGTCACATTTTATCAGTGTGCACATTGATTAAAGGTTGTGGATTTTCACTCATGTTGTGACCAAACATTGACATTAGGTGAGTAGAGTGAATTTCAAGGATGTTGCTAACCTTGAGAGAAAATGTCTTCACAAGTACTTGGGCATTGTTCAAACCTGTGTTAGACCTATGGTTTTCTATGCCAGTAGTGTCATTGTTGGGCCAAACCTAGCAATGCCAAGAACACCCTGAAAATCATACTACATAGCATGTTGCCAAAATCATGAACTGTTCTCCAATCAATATTGTACAGCATTCAAATATTCTGTGTGAGTCACTGCTTTGCAATTTCACCTACAGCATTTAACATGATCTCATTGGTTTCCTTGGATGCACATTGTCTTTCTACAGGAATTCAGGCTGAGGCACTTACTTCAATCAATCAGATGTTATCCCTCAAATCTCACTTTGGAGACATAAGCACTGTAGTGTGATATATCAAGCACAAATGTGATCATTACATGTCCACAAGTTCCCTGCTCACTCACTCCCATTCTCTAATAGTATGACTCTGGCCTTGAATGATTCCAGTTGGTGGCCATTCATCAATGGAAAAATTATTTTCAGCTATTTCATTGGTTCATAGCAAGTCAGATGCATGATGATAGTGATAATTCGATTCCCCTTGACTCCAATTTCGCAGTTGCTGCCTCTGTTGGGCTAGTGTATGATTGGGGTGAGCAAGGCTGAGTATAAAAGAACCACTAATATCCTTGAGGTATTCTCAGTGCTTATGTTTGGACAAGAGGTACATCAATTCATCGCTGGGTCAGCCCGCTTGCTTATAATTGTGTTATAGGTTGAATTGATCTGGGTGAGCGGACTCCTATGTCAAAAGAACAACATGAACATATAAATTCTTGATGGCAGAGGCAACACTGGTCCCTGATGACCTTTCTCTATCTCAGTGTATGTAACTTGTCTTTCAATGTTTATGCTTACCAAGTCCAAGTTTTGCTGATTTCAAATATCCTAGGTGCAATATGCTGGAATAGGATATGTTGTGTATGATTTGATGTTTAAGCCATTGATGTTGCACTCATTACCCATCTCTCACAATCAGGATGTACATGTTGGGCATGTATCCTCACATACACTCAGTTTCTTTCTGGTGACAGGCAGTACACAGACAATGTTCCAACAATTTTGATGACAGATGCAGTGAGTATTCCACATTGATACCTTCCATTCCCACACAAACTGAACTACCATGCAGGGGTGAGTGAGATTTTCAAACTCATTGGTTCAACATGACAACTCCCACAGTTGTGAGTTTGTTTCGAGCCTGTGATCCT